CACCACACCCATTTGCACTATTCAGGTGACCCTGAGGGCACAGAGATAAACCTCCAAGTGGCCTCAACGACTCTCAGGAAGAGCACTAACGACCAGAGGACTGCAAGGAATATGAATCCTTTCATCCTCCACCATTCAATCAGAACTGAAGGAGCTTGCTGTCAGGGTTCCGGCGATTGCCCAATTAAATCATGAGCCTTGAGCCAAGCTTCAAAAGATTTATTAGGAGCGACATGTCGGCATTAACCTAAATGAAGCCAACTCTGGCATACGTAATTTACAGTCACCTGTGACCCTGTTCCCCCACCCCCGGTGTATCATAAATCAGATTCTTCAATGAAGCATGTTCATGGGCTGGGTGTCATCAATCACATTCTCCAATGAAGGATTTTCTCAGGCAGAAGACCTGGTAGCCTAGCTACAATCTTTGTTAGATAAGGGTGGAATGTTCTTCTGGTTTTAAACTGCCATAGTGCTCCTTCAGATTTTTCCACCCCCTTGTTTATGGCAACTCGAAAACAGCCATAGGGATGTTTTATGAGTTGACATTTCTTGGATGAGAAATGAAACTTTGTCAAGGAAAACGAAGGAAGTCCAGTTGCCTCTTGAAAAGGCACTTTTGGGACAATCAAGACCCTGGTTGCTCTTGCGTTTGAACGGCTGGAAGTATTCTGCCTAAGTTGCTCTGTTCAAATTCAAACTTTTCTGCCTTGCATCTTCATCCCTAGATGGTCCAGGAACACCTATCATCAGTCCAGTGGAGGTCTGCAATGAAGAACACATAAACATCATCCTCTCCTGTAAGGCTGATGCATTTCCCCATCCTCAGTATGCTTGGTACCGTGATGGTGTCTGGTTGGATGACGGGCACAAATTATTCATCCCAAACTTCTCTGAGAGTCAAGCCGGGGACTACGTCTGCGAAGCCACGAATGAGCTCCTTCACCAAAAGACGACAAGCGAAATTCAGCACATTCGCTTGAAGAAAAGTACGTAACTGCAGAGGGTTCAGCACTTGTGGCCCATTGTCACTCTGGGTCTGGTGTGTCTGAGCCCCCTTTCACCAGCATTGTTTTGTGGGACCTGCCACCAGGGGTGGGATTCTACCGGTTCGGTCCGGTTCTATAGAACCGGTAGCTCCAAAGAGCAGCTGACACAGAACTGGCTCTCTCCAAAGATCGTCTTTTCTTTGGTTGGGCCCACCTGCCTGCCAGTTGGGCCCACCTGCCTCTAGGCTGTCCTGTATTCTTACCTTAGTGGCTTTGCATGGCACAACTGAGTGCTGCGTGTCAGCAGGATATTTTATTTATTTATTTAGTCAAAAGCCTACCAATATAACAGAAACAAGAATAAACATAAGTTTAAATACAAGAAATAGGAACTGATAATTGGGGACAATAGGACAGGGACGGTAGGCACGATGGTGCGCTTATGCACGCCCCTTACAGACCTCTTAGGAATGGGGTGAGGTCGATAGAGGTTAGTTTGAGGGTAAAGGAGTGGGAGTTGGAGCAGGTGACCACAGAATCAGGTAGTGAGTTCCAGACATTGACTATTCTGTTGCTGATATCGTACTTCCTGCAATTGAGTTTGGAGAGGTTTATATTGAGTTTATATCTGTTGTGTGTTCTTGTGTTGTTGTTGTTAAAGCTACGTTAAACGATATGGTGATTGCTTGCAGGAGAAGTTGTTTGCAAGTACTGCACAAAAAGTGAACCGGTTGTTATGCCGGTAAGATCCCACCCCTGCCTGCCACAACTTAAATCTAGTGGCCCCCAATCTTTTGTGCACCAGGGACCAGTTCCGTGGCGAGAGGTTTTTTTGTGGACGAGTGGTTTCGTGCGCTGTCTGCATCCCACGGATGGGTTTCGCTTGCCCGGTTTCTGGCATGTCGTGGCCCAGTGCCAGTCCACGGACTGGGAGTTGGGGACCCCTGGCTTAAACCTCCAAATAGAAAGGATCCTTGGCTCCATTGGTTGAAAAAGGCGTTGTTTGTTAGAGATCAACTGTACAGGGAGTTGTTGACTTATGACCACAATCGAGTCCAAAATATCTGTTGCTGAGTGAGACAGTTGTTAGACAGTTGATCTTCTGAGAAGCAAAGTCAAGAGGGAAGCCAGATTCACTTAACAGCCATGTTACAAACTTAACAGCTGCAGTGATTCACTTAACAACTGTGGCAAGAAAGGTCAGAGAATGGGGCAAAATTCATTTAACAACTGTCTTGCTTAGCCGCAGAAACATTGGGCTCAGTTGTGGTTGTAAGTCAAGCAGTGCCTGTAATAAATACATGTATTTATTTGTTTGCTTGGATCTCGCCTGTATCGTTTTTACAAGGTGGGGAACATATCCAGCAACTCCTTCTTTTTCCTATTTTCCCCACAACAACAATCCTCCAAGCTCAGCCAACCATCTTTCATGCCTAAGGCAGGACTAGAACTCACCGTCTCCTGGTGATTGGCCCAAAGTCACTCAACTGGCTTTTATACCTAAGGCAGGACTAGAACTCACCGTCTGCTAGTGATTGGCCCAAGCAGGTCCCCCAACCATCTTTCGTGCCTAAGGTGGGACTAGAACGAATGGTCTCCAGCTTTCTAGCCTGGTGCCTCAACCACTAGACCAAACTGTCTCACCATTAACCCTCTCCATTCCTGCACTTTGCTTTTGTTGTGTGTCATTCCCAGGACCTTCTGCATCATCAACTCTTTTGCCCTCCTTGCAGGTTGTGTGAGCGGAGTGACCATCACTGGCCTACACGAAGGCACAGAGGGCAAAAACACCTCCTTGCACTGCACAGCCGAAGGTGACGATGTTGTGTATTCTTGGACCAAAGGAGACCAGCCCGTGAATGAAAATGAACATGTCAATTTGACACCTGACAACCAGACCCTCAATTTCAACCCATGTGATCGAAGCGATGCTGCTAAATATATGTGCCATGCTTCCAACAGCTTCTCTTCCAATGACAGCGATCCCTTTGACTTAGCTATCATATGTAAGTCTGACCTTCTTCTCTGGAGTCATGCCAAGGCAGCCAACGTGCCTCACTTTGTGTTTGGGTTAAGAGAGGAACAACCTCTTGTACGGAGGCTAAAAAAAGAAGGGTTGCAGGAATTGAGTATGTCTAGATTGATGAAAAGAAGGACTAGGGAGCGACATGACAGCAGTCTTCCAATACTTATGCGGTTGCCCCAAAGAAGAGGGAGTCAAACTATTTTCCAAAGTACCTGAAGGCAGGACAAGAAGCAAAGGATGGAAATTAAGCAAGGAGAGAGGCAACCTAGGAGAAATTTCCTGACAGTTGGAACAATTAATCAGTGGAACAACTTGCCTCCAGAAGTTGTAAATACTCCCACACTGGAGGTTTTTAAGAAGAAATTGGACAACCATATAGGGTTTCCTGCTTGAGTAGGGAGTTGGAGTAGTGGACTCCCAAGATCCCTTCCAACTGTTATTCTATTACTCTGTTATTCCTTCTTACTCCAGAACGGGGGGGGAAAACTAGGAAGTTAGGAAAAGGTCAGCAACTAGAAAATCCAGCCAGCCATGTGCAGCAGCAGCCCAAAAAGCCAATGCAATCCTAAATTGCATTAACAGAGGGATACAATCAAGATCAAGGGAGGTCCTAATACCACTCTATAAAGCCTTAGTAAGACGACACCAAGAGTACTGCATCCAGTTTTGGTCACCACATTATAAAAAAGATGTTGAGATTCTAGAAAGAGTGCAGAGACGAGCAACCAGGATGATTAGGGGACTAGAGGCTAAAACATACAATGAGTGGTTACAGGAACTGGGCCTGGTTAGTCTAGTGAAGAGAAGGACCAGGGAAGACATGATAGCAGTCTTCCAATATTTGAGGAGCTGCCACACAGAGCACAGAGAGGAGGAAGGGGTCAAGCTATTTTCCAAAGCACCCGAAGGCCAAACAAGGAATAATAGATGCAAACTGAACAAGGAGAGATTCAGCCTGGAAATAAGGAGGAACTGTCTGACAGTGAGAACAATCAACCGATGGAACAGAAGTTGCCTTCAGAAGTTGTGGGAGCTTCATCCCTGGAGGCTTTCAAGAAGAGACTGGACTGCCATCTGTCAGAAATGGTGTAGGGTCTCCTGCTTGGTGGGGAGTTGGACTAGATCAGAGGTCACCAACCAGTGGGCCAGGGAACATTTCCACGAGAAAATTTTGGAGGTCTGCAGAGAAATGTCACCCCCAAAGCAATTAATCCAGGCTGCGTGGGAACACAAGGCTGCGCTGGCCACATGGCCCACGGGAACGCAAGGCTTGCGTTGCTTGCATTGCGAACAACATCAGGTAGTGAGGGGAGGGGGGAAAGGGCAGAGGGGGAGAACTTGCCCATGCGCCCCACGTGCCCCACGTGCCCCACGTGCCCCACGCGCCTGGCCTAGCCACCAGGCTGCTTCTTTCTTCTGCTTTTGGCTGCACACAAGGAAAGCTGCAAGGCCTCCTGCTCCAAGGGGCTGCGCTGGCAAAGACTCCTTTCTGGAGGAGTTTGGGGGAGAGAAAGAAAGACTTCTGCTGCTTTCTTTGCATGAAGCCAAAAGTCTCTCTTTCTCTCTCTCTCTTCCCTCCCTGAGAACGGAGCAGGAGATGATATCCTGCGATCCCAAATAAAGAACGATAGATCGATAGGAAAACAGGGTGGGGAATGTTCCTGCAGACTTTTGGGGGGGATTTTCCCAGGGTCTCAGCCACTTTCTGCAGAGACCCTGGGAAAACGTCAGCAAGCCACCATCAGTCAAAATTCATATTAGTGGTCCGCGGGATTTAAAATTATTGAGTTTCGGGGTCCCTGAGATCCAAAAGGTTTGTGACTCCTGTTCTAGGTGACATTCTAGGACAGTCCCTTCCCCAGACCTATTACACAAAATGAAATGGGAGCATTTTCCTTTTTTTTCCCCCCAGAAGATCCCAAGGCCATAATGTTGAAAGATATTCTTCTTCCGTTAAAAAATGCACCTTTTTCTTGCAGATGGACCTGATCCTCCTTTTATCAATGAGACAATTGATCTCAATGACGAAACAATCAGCCTAACGTGCATAGCTGTTGCCTATCCTGCCACAACAAATGAGTGGTATTACAATGGACAGCTGGTTGAGAATAGCCCGGAGGTGCTCATTCGGAAAATCATCCCAGAGAATTCTGGGTATTATTCTTGTCGAGCAATGAATCCCACATCTAAGAAGACAGGCGAGACCACTCTGGAGGTTGACATGATAGGTGAGTAGAAGATAGGGAAACCCTAGGTAAAAAGCATGGCAAAAAAAAAATTGAGGGGTTCCTGCCTAGAGATGGAGGATGGACATACACCTAATATTACCTTGTGGTCTCTTTTTCTCTCATTAGGAAAACTAAGAAGCTTAAGACGCCGTTGAGGGACCTGTAAGTATGAGTTTTTCTCAGAAAATATTCAGGAATGGTTCATATTACCCTAGTTTTCCCAAGTGTTTTGATGTTTGCTAGACATCGGGGCAGGAATCCATGACTCTCATCTGGGATCTCCACAGAGTAGGTCAAGACAATCAAAATGGCAGCCACAGCGAGGAAGTGCCCCCTGGTTTTATCTGTGTAGCGTGTTCAATGCACATAAAAACTAGGTGGTGTAGGAAAAATGAGGACACCCACACACACCCCAGATGAAAATATAATTCGGAAAATATGAGGCTGTGCAGAGATGGTTAGATTGACATTAAAAAGAAAAGATAAAGAAGATACAGAATATTACTCAACATGGGATATGTTTTACCAGTGGTTAGATATAAGAGATAGAAATTAGAAGAAGAAAGGCTATTACTATGTGTAAGTAAAAGATGAGCTATTATGACTATGATTATAAATAAGTTAACATTATTATTATCATTATAATTACAACCTTCATTATTATTCTTATTATCAGAACATTTGTTATTTCTCTGTAAAACGAAACGGGCCCAGACAATGCACTGTTTTCAAAGTATCTATGCGTAATTAAAATATAAAATAAAAATAAAAGTCAGTGCTTTGATTACACCATTGAGGTTTTTTTGTAGTCCTTAACCAGGTAGTTGTTAAGTGAGTCATGCCAGTTTTTTTGCCATGGTTATTCAGTGAATCTCTGTAGTTGTTTAGCGAGTCCTTTGAATCATTTTCGTTTTCAAACAGGTCCCCAGAACCTGGAACAAAAACTGTGCTTTAACCGCCTGGTGTGTTCTTTCTTTCCTCTTTTAGGTTTCTACTCTCTGATTTCTGAAACAAGCTGAAGCTTCATCTGTTTTTACATCATTTTAAATTTTGATTTTTTTTTGAAAAAACTATCTACATTGAAGCCACCTTGTAGACTCCCTCGGGGCTCACCCCTGCCTCTCCATTACAAGAATGGATCATATCAACACCCATTTATCATTTGGCTTTCCCTAATGAAAGAATGTAGTGCAGTTCTTCAGATGGATTGAGAGCAGTAGAGAAATTAGCACTCAATAAATCATTCTCTTTGGCAATTGGCTTGCTTTGTTGTGGCGACTGTGTTGCTCTGTTGTTGTTCTTGTCAGCGTCCAAGTACAATATGGCGGACCTCTTGATTCTGTGGTGTCGGAGTCGGTTGTGTACACCAGCGTTATTAACTGGACTGGATTTTAAAAAAAAAATCTTTAGCAAGATAAAAAACAACCCTTAAGGCCCAAATTCACTTTCTTCTGCAGTGGTTCTTCTTTCCTAGCCTTTAAATCAGAGGTGGGCTGCTGGGGGTTCGCAGGGGTCCGGGAGAGCCCCTAGCTAAGATTCTGTGCAGTTCAGAAAGCCCCAAAATCCCACTCCTGGCTGGCCCCGACCACCCCTCCCCTCCTCTACCAGGAGTCCCCACATGACCCGTTTTGGATGCAGGTATGTGCAGGGTGCATTTGGAGGCTCGGGGAGGGCGAAAAACAGGCCTCCCAGAAGTTCAGGAAGGCCGGAAATAGGCCCGTTTCCAGCTTCCAGAGAGCCTCCGGAGTCTGGAAAGGCTGTTTTCACCCTCCTGGAGGCTCAAGGAAAGCCTCCGGAGCCCGGGGAGAGCAAAAACAACCCTCCCGCCGTGGTGCAGGTGACTGACTAGGCCACGCCCACCATGGCCACGCCCACACAGCAACCGGGCAGAAAACCCTTTGCAAAAAGTTTAAATGGTTTGAATGCCTTGGATTTTAACTCCACAGTCTATATATAATATCTAAATTATTGCTTGAAATTCTCATAAGGTGCCCATGTCGTACGCCTTTAAAAAAAAAAGGTCCATTATGACCTCATCTCCAAAACTTGGGAGATAATTTTAGGATTATCTGTAGGACCGGAAGGTTACTTGGAAGGAATTCTGCAGTGGCCCAGATAGTGTTGAATCGCACACCAATTTCACAAGGTCGATGTCAGAGTCCCAAGGAATACATTCATAATAAACAGAGCTCCGAGGCAGGTAGGTTCCTCAAAGAATTGGTTCGTTGGACATATCATATTGGCACAAACTGGTGAAAACCGACGCTGAATATTCCCGCAGTTTTCCCCTTATTAAAAACTAAACATTTCTCCCTTTTCCCAGTCAGTCAGTCACACGGTCCAATCAAGGTCCCATCCAGTTGCCAGGCGACGTGGCTCCTCGTCTGTACCAGCCACCGGTGGGAATGTCCTTGGTTCCCAGGAGAAAGTATTTTGTTTTGGTTACAAGCCCCTCTGTCTCTATTCCCCCTCAGCTGCACTGTGGCAACACTGAGCCTCAAAATGGTCAGGTCAGCTTCAGGGTTGACAGGCAACCCCCCACCCCCTTAATTGAAGAGGACTTCTTGCAAAGAAAAAAAGATTGCAGAGAGGTTACTCAATATTCACCTTAGCCTCTCCGCCCGTCCAACCCCAAGGGTCCCTTAAGCTTCTGGGGGTAGTTGTGGAACTGTTTAACCAACATGACTCCTTCACATCCCAGATTTTAACCCAAGTAGCCTGAGTCAGGTCAGCTTCAGGGTTGACAGTTATAACATCTCTACCCCAACATCATTCAATCTGCAACAAGACTTTGCATTAGTAGGGATCAACCACATTGGGTTATTTATTCTTTGCTTTATGGACATGTAGACCATTTCCCATTCTTAAAACCTTGAGGCAGTTTCCTCTGAGAAGAAATAGAAAACACAAAAAGTAAAGCAACTGAACATAACACAGGATAAACTGAACCACGCATGCAGAGTTCAGGATAACTATTTTACAGATACTCCGCGACTTATGACCACAAATGAGCCCAAAATTACTGTTGCTAAGCGAAACGGTTTTTAAGTGAGTTTCGCCCCATTCTACAACCTATCCTGCCACAGTTGTTAAATGGATCACTGCAGCGGTTAAGTTGTTAACACAATTGTTAAATGAATCTGGCTTCCCCATGGCCTTTGATGGACAGAAGGTCGCAAAAGGGAATCACATGACCCCAGGACACTACAACTGTTATAAATATGAACCAGTGGCCAAGCATCCAAATTTGGATCACGTGATCAGGGCAATGCTCCTTTGCAACAGTCATAAGTGTGAAAAACAGTCATAAATCTCTTTTTTCATTGCCGTTGTAACTTTGAACGGTCACTAAACAAATGGTTATAAGTTGAAGACTTCCTTTATTATGTTCTCCCAGCCAACTCTTGGTAACAATTAGATAAGGCTCCAAGGAACCTGGAGGTGTGGGGAACGGTCCTAGGACTTTTGTGATTGCGCAGTGACTCTAGACTAGGGGCATATTTGATCCCTCCTCCCTGCCAGACTGGGTGCTTCCCAACAGGGAAGTAAGCCAAAGTCCATTTTTCTCTTCCAAAAGACTTGCCAGAAAGTACCTGTAAGTTGGCATTCTGTGCTTCGTAACACACCCAGGGACCTCATCCTGGCCTTCTTAGCTGTCGGTCAACAACATGAGACATGATCAATCGGCTTTATTTCTAACTAGACAACCCTGTCAGAGGTGGTATTTAGCAGGTTCTGACCAGTTTTGGAGAACCGGTAGTGGAAATTTTGAGTAGTTTGGAGAACCAGCAAATACCGCCTCTGACTGGCCCCGCCCCATCTATTCTCTGTCTCCCGAGTTGCCCTGCACAAGGGAACGGAGCTGGAAAGCAGGTTAGTGGTGTGGGGAGGGAATGGAATTTTGCAGTAACCTTCCCTCAGGAGTGGGGAGGGTATGGAGATTTTCTAGTATCCTTCCCCTGCCAAGCCCACCAAGCCATGCCCACCAAGCCACGCCCACCAAGCCACGCCCACAGAACCGGTAATAAAAAAAAATTTTGAATCCCACCACTGCCGCAGACCCCTGGGGGGCTGTGATGTCATCATAGGGGGACCACGGAGGCTTGAAGAAGGAGCATCGCCCTGATCACGTGATCCAAATTGGGATGCTTGGCCACTGGTTCATATTTATAACAGTTGTAGTGTCCTGGGGTCATGTGATTCCCTTTTGCAACCTTGTGTCCACTCTGGACGATCCTGTGATGAGTTAAGAAAAGTATAGATCACAAATAGGAAAATAGTAGGAGTGGTAAATGCACTTCAGTAATAAATCAATATCTCCTTACCTGAACTGAGAAACAGAAAGACC